TATGACTTACGCCTTCATAGCCTCACTCTTTTCTGGCTAGCTCTTTTTACTTAGAAAGCTCTTTCTATCTACCATGTGCGTAGGGCTTTTACCTTTGCTCACTTTCTTGCTCTCTCTGGTCCTAGCTTCTTACCCTGGGTGTGTCCCTCTTTCTCTCTTACTGCTTCTCCCATTCTTTTTTCTCCTTTCTCTCTAGCCTAGATTTCTCCTCCTATTTATTCTCTCTCCCGGCCAGCCCCACCTATTCTTCCTTCTGCCTAGCAATCAGTTGGTCAGCTGTTTATTACACTGATCAGGTGCCTTAGGCAGGCAAGGTGAAACAGATGCAACACATCTTTACATAATTAAACAAATACAGCATAAACAAATGTAACAGACCTTTACACAGTTAAAGTAATATTCTGCAGCATAAACAAATGAAATACACCTTTACCTCGTTAAAATAATATTCCACAAAAGAAGGAATGTTCCTGCTAATTTTATAAATCACTTATGCCTTGTTAACATCTAGCTGGCCAGTTTTATGTCAACTTGAAACAAGCTTAAGTCAAAAGAAAAGAGGGAGTCTCAATTGAGAAAATCCACCCCCCCCCATAAGATTCATCTGGAGGGAGTTTTCTTATTAGTGATTGATGGGGGAGGGACAGGCCATGGCTTGTAGGTCCATCCCTGGGTAGTAAACAAATCAGGCTGAGTAAACCATGAGGAACAAGCCAGTAAGCAGCACCCTGCTATGACTGTTAGACTCTTTCTCACAAATAACGGTATCTGAAATCTCAGTGTGTCTAGCAAGAATGGGGACAACTTACACAGCATCTTGTTTGTGTGGTTTTCTTGTTTTAATTTTTATCATTGTACTGTCTCCTTAGAGATGTCTCCTATAACTGTGTCCTGAATCACTCTTAACTGCCGTCTTACATTAAATTGCTAAGCACAACTTTTATTCTCAGTTAAAACTTACCAGGGCCAAGAACATGGCCCAGTTAGTAAAGCACCTTGCACCTGCTGCATCTGAGTTTGGATACCTAGAACCCATGTAAGAAGCTGCCATATAGCGTGTTTCTATCATCCCAGCTCTGGTCAGGCAGAGACTGGCATCTCTCACAAGCTCATTGATCAATCAAGCTTAGCTGAATCAATGAGCTTCAGGTGCAGTGAGAGGCTCTCACAAAACAAAAAAGCAAACAAATAAAAGCAAATGAAATGGTGGCGATCTACTGAAAAAGGTGTGCAATGTTGACCTTGGGCCCTCCACAGGAAAAGAGACCCATGTACACGCACATGAAACAATCTACACTAACAAGCAGATATACACAGACTTATGACATCATTCATAGGTTTCTTTTAATTCCCCTCTCCGCATGCTTTACCACAAGGAAGGAAGGAAGGAAGGAAGGAAGAAAGGAAGGAAGGAAGGAAGGCTTTCAGCCCACCTCTGACTTCCCTATGGGAACATTCTGCTAGGAAGGACTAATAAATAAAGACATGAAACTTGGAGGTTCCCTTTCTCCATGTGACAAAGCAGAATGAAAACAGGTGTTTTGTAATTGAGAGATACCAATGAAAAAAATACAGCCACAGAGAATTCTACAAGTTGGATCTTTACTCAGCAAAAACAAAGGGGCTAATTCCAATAAAACTAAACCACTGTTTCTCCAGAGGGCTAGAGTTTGATTTCCCAAGCACCCACACTGGTCAGCTCACAACTGCCTGCAACTCCGGTTCCAGGGGATTCAGCATCCTTTTCTGGTTTCCAAGGGTACAAATATACATGTGCACACACATATACACACAAATTTATTTTAGAATTTTAAAAATCAATCAGCCTAGGGAATATAGATTAGTGGGGGAATGCTTGCCAAACATGCATGTGGCCATGTGGTCAAACACAAATACAAACAAAAACAAATAAAAAGAAATAGAACAACAAAATGAGTATTAGATGGGCATTGTGGGGTATACCTGTAAGCCATGTTTTGGCACACTCAGGCAGGAGCAGCACAAGTTCAAAAATAGCCTAGTCTATAGAGTCAGAACCTGTCTTCAAAGCAAAACAACACAGCACAGAACAAACTTACTCTAGTCTCTCCAGATGTAACCATTAGCCCTGGCGAGGTCTGCCTGTAAAAGCCTCTCCTCCAAGCCCATCTCCATCCCCTAGGGGCTTGGCCTTTTTATGTGGACCCAGTACTCCCCTGTCCATTTTCTTTCTAACTCATCTATCTGGGACCCACATGGACCACACTTGGACAGGACTCAGAGTGGGCAACTATAACCAAATGATGAACCGCCTTCCCAAAAAAGACAAGACCAGCACTCTACACTAAAAAACAATTCAAATATCAGAACTCCAGATAACTACACCCACTGCAAAATCACAGACCGGAGCAACCATGACCATATGAATCCAGCAACCTTGTTGTGTGAGGCCACGAGGAAAGCAATTTAGCTGAAACACAAGAAAAAGATTTCAAAGTAGAAATTATGAACATGTTTGAAGACATAAAAGAGGATATAAATAAAAGCCTTAATGAAGATTGTGAAAGTACAAACATTGAATATTGAAAATAATTCAAGATGAGAGGAGAATCTAACAAGCAATTAGAATCTATTAAAAAAAAACCAAACTGAAATGAAAAGAAACATAGAAAACAGGTTGTCAAACAAAAACCTTAGATTAAGGAAAATGGAAGAAAGAGTTTCAGATGTTGAACACATGGTAGGAAAAATGGCTAGTTTGTTAAAGACAACGTTAAACCTAAAAACAACCCAGACATGAAACATTCAGGAAATCTGCTACAGTCTAAAATAATAGCATCTATGAATGAATGGTATAGAGAAAGGAGAAGAAACCTAAGTCAAAAGCACAGAAAATATTTTTAACAAAATCATAGAAGAAAATTCCCCCAATTTAAAAAAGAAGGTGCTATAAAGTTACAAGAAGCATACAGTATACCAAATAGGTGGGCTTGGGGGAAAAACATACATGACACATGGAAGTCAAAGCACTAATATAAGGAATGAAGAAAGGATATTAAAAGGTGAAAAAGAAAGAACAGGTTACATATAAAAACAGACTCATTAGAATAACACCTGACTACTCAGTGGAGACTCTGAAAGCCAGAAAGACCTGGACAGATGTTCTACCATCTCTAGGAGACCACAGATGCCAGCTCAGACCACTATACCCAGAAAAATCTCAATCACAACTGATGGAGAAAGAAACACATTTCATGGTTAAAAAATATTAAGTAATTTCTGTCTATGCAGTTCTACAGAAGGCACTAGAAGGAAATATTTACTCTGAAGAGAGGTCTAACTACACCCAATGGAACTCAAGAAATAAATAATTCCAGAACTGCTAACTAAATAAAAGGGGGAGGATGAAAAAGCCATACCATCACAACAAAATCGAGGAAGTTAATAAGCATTTTTCATGAGTACTGCCCAACATTAATGGTCTCAGTCCAGAATCCATCTTCTGCTGCATCCAAGAAACATACTTTACCAACAAGGACAGATATATGCTTTAAGGGAAAAGGATGGAAAAGAATAATCCAAGCAAATGAACCCAGGAAGTATGCAGGTGTAGCCATTTTAATATATGTTAAAATAGACTTCAAACAAAAACTAATTAGAAAGAATTGGGAAGGACAGTACATACTCATCAAAGGAAAAATCCGTCAAGAGGAACATTGCAATCCTAAACATTTATACACCAAATACAAGGGCACCCAAGCTATAAAAGAAACACTACTACAGTTAAAATCACAGACTGACTCTCACACAGTGACAGTGGGTGACTTCCATATTCTGCTCTTGCTGATAAACAAGTCATCTAGACAAAAACCAAGCAGAGAAATGCTAGGTTAATTATTATCTTAAATCAACCTAACAGAATCTATAGAACATTCCACCCAAACATTAAAGAATTATTCTTTTTTTCTCAGCAGCCCACGGATCTTTCTCCAAAATTGAGTGCAGATTAGGGCACAGACAAACTCTCAACAGTTTTTTAAAAACTGAAATAACACTGTACATTTTATCTAATCATCATAGATTAAAGCCGGATATGAACAACAATAGAAACAGCAGAAAGTTTACAATTCATAAAAACTTAACAACCAACCACTGTATGAAAATTAGGTCAAGACGGAAATCAATAAGAAAATAAAAAATGTTTTAGAACTAAATGAAAATAAAAACACAACTTACACAAACAAACGAGAGACACATGAGAGCAGTTCGAAGAAGCAAGTTTGTAGCCCTAAGTGGCAACTTCAAAAACTGGAGAAATTTGATCATAGTAACTTGTGACACACTTGACATCTCTAGGAAAACACAAAGAAATAATACCCAAAAAGAATAGATCTGAAAAAATAAACACGGGGCTAAAATCAATGAAATTGAAACAAACAAACAAACAGCAGCAGCAACAACAAAATACAAAGATTCAATGAAACAAAGACTTGATTCTTTGAGAAACTCAACAGGAATCAGAAATCTTTAGCCAAATTAACCAAAAGATAACGAGAAAAGATCCAAATTAATAAAATTAGAGATGAAAAAGAAGCCATTAAAACAAACATTGAAGAAATCCAGATAATCATAAAGATTTAATTTAAAAATCTGTATTCCATGAGATTGGAAATAGGTTAATTTCTTGATATAAATGATCTATAAAAGTTAAACAAACAGTTAGTAGACTCATAACCCCTCACTAAAACAGAAGTAGTACCTAAAAATCTCACACCACCACTCCCCAGCAAAAAATGTCCCACAGCTGGACTCAGCACAATTCTACAGGACCATTAAGGAACCTCTAATGTAAACACTTATTGAATTATTTCACCAAATAAGTGTGCAGCATCTTCAGCAGTAGGGCCTTCCCATTAGGTCGTGGAGAGTAATGAGTAGATTTGGCAGTAGTAGTCTGTGATATTTTGAGGGCTCTATGGAACACCTTTTATTGAATGATAAAAGTGCATTATTCCAACCTATCATAGATTGCTGGAATCTTTTATCAGTAGTTTATAATGCACACCATAGCATTTCTCCCACCGGGACACTAAAAATGTGGGAAATTTCATTTAACGTTAAAGAGTAATTTCACAAATGTTCTACTCTGTGTTAGTTGAAGTTGAAGCTGTTGAAGGAGAAGTGCTGGTCTCTTCTTCCTCATGTGATGGTTTACTCTCTTCTTTCTCAGGTGATGGTGTAGAGCCCTTGATAATCCAAAGAAATAAAAATAAAAGCAAAACCGTAAAAGAAACAGGAAATATCCAACTTATGAAGCTATTATCCTGTGACTTCCTCTTCATCTCCTTGTCCTTGTCCTTCTCCTTCTCTTTATCCTTCTCCTTATTTTTGCTTTCAGAAGATGGACTGCTGTCAATACTCCCTCCAGTGCCCTTTAGCAGGCAATATGGTGGACTCCAGCCATCATTGCAATGGCAATGATGTTTGTTATTGCAGACGCCATTCTTGTTGCAGGTCTTTGGTGTACACTCACTTGCCCAGATTGACTTATTGACACACTTTCTGTTCATGCACACATGCTCTGGACCACAGTGTGTGCCATCTTTTACGTCACCAAGGTCAGGGATGCTCATCCCAAAATGGTAGTCAGTACTCCAGCAGGAGACACCCTTGAAATGAGTCCAATGTACAGTATAATGGCTCCTCCAAATAGGAAGACTTTTCACTTCTTTACACTGAACTCTTCCACAGAGGATATCTGAGTTATTACATTTCACATATACATTGTTTATTATTCCACAGTTACCAAAACGATCACCATAAGTATTGACTTCCTGGTAGCAACTGTCAGATGCTTTCCTGGCATCCTTGCCAAAAAGTCTCCGGCACTGTTCATCATGGCTGTTACATCTTTTTTCATAGCAGTAGCCACCATCACTGCAAGAGCTTCCATCCTGTAAAAACACATCTTCTGGGCACTCAGGTGAAGTTCTATTGCACCATTCTGGGAGGTCACATTCGCTCTCCTTAATTCTACACAGAGTGCCAGACGGCAGGAATTGTCATATGTTGCTGCAGCACAGCCCGGTATCACAGCTAGCTCCAGGCTTGAGAGTACAGCCAGGCAGACAACAGAGACTATAGTCACATAATTCGGGGGGTCCACAGTCACACTCCTCACCTTCATCAACCACCCCGTTCCCACAGAACTTAAACGGATAGGTATCCGAAAGGTTGAGTTTATTGTACATACAGCTTGCTTTGGCTGTGTTTTCCCACAATGCAGCATAACTACAGTTACTGAATTTTCTGGAACATCTTGTTGTAGGAGACATCACACATGGTCCTCCTCCACATGTACAAAATATCCCATCATGGGGCATGCCCAAATTATGACCTATCCCATGTGCCACGATACACCCAAAGGTAAAGAAATTTTCCCCCAAGGGACTCTCAACTCCACACCCAAATGTCTTATTACATATAGTTCCAACATAGGCTATGCCAAAATAGTTACTAAAATTATAATTCACAAAGAGATGTGCAATATCATGTCGTAGGTAAGAATCAAGGTGTTCACTCTTCCACTTACAAAATGCTGGCAAGAGAGTATATATATCTTTCACTGGTATGGGGTTTTCCTTACTCCAGATTACAAGTCCAAGTAAAGCCACATTAATATCCACTGGAAATAAGAAGTAATTTAGTCCATTCATAATCATGAATACATCTCGTAGCACAAGAGAAGTATTACGGCCTCGATAAAGGAATTGTTCATGGTCTATAACCAATGCCAGTTCAATATACAATCTGTGAGTCCACCATGTCCCATAGACAACTCGTGTTTTGGAGGAGTCATCATCCTCTTGAGGTGTCACTTGCTCTGCTGTTTCTTCATCTGTTAATGCACATCTCATGGAACATAATTGAGTTTTTTCACTGTCTATCTTATAAACTAGATGTTCAAATGTGGAAGAAGGGCTCTTGGGTCTAATTTCATAAGCTGTGTCGTTTATCTGTAATGTTCCTTGTAAACCCCCCAAACAGGTGATAAGAGCAACCATGGATTCTGGGTTTCCTTCCACAAAACCAAAGTAATAGCAGTCTTTTTGGACAAAAGGCCGATCCTCAATGAGGTCTCCTTGATCACTGTAGGTGAACACAGAGAGATGGCTGGATACTAGAAAGCTTTGGGGCTTCATGGAGATAATGTGTCTCTGGCCTCCGAAGTGTAGGCTATAGGACTTCCAGCCTGCAAGACTCATGTTTCTACTAGAGACGGTTACCCTCAAGGGTATCACTACTTCTGGAAGGCTTTTGAATTCAGCACACCAGGTCAGGGGCCATATAGAAGGAAAGAGCAACACCCTCAACCATACCTGCAGGAGAGCGATTCTTACATGTACTGGAACCTCACTCATAGCCACCTTGTCCTACTGGAGAGAGCAAAGGAGGACGGGATGTGGTTCTGCTGCCCGGATCTTTATTTTGTCTTGATCTCATGCAGCACTAACATTTAATACTCTGTCTTCTGGAAGACTGGATCCATCAGGGCAGGGGGACCTTATGAAACAGGAAAAAGAAGGCAGAGATAAAGAGTGGCTTCATGATGAGCTGGCTAAAGTAGAAGGCTTTATATAAATATAGCTTAGCATTTGGACCAAAGCATGACTTCATATTGTGCATTTGATTTGCTCTTTAATTTTGATGAGGTACAGTCACACTCCGGTTGTTCAGAAGGATCACAGTGGGTCACAGGCTGATAATCTCAGACCTTGATGACAGATACATGGATTCACTGTATTGTCCCCTAAATATATACACATTTAAGACTATATTTACATTAATATTGAAAATAAGCTTCTATTGGCTATTGTGAAGTAGCCACTTGCTTTAATGAGATAAGTTTGATTTATACATAGTCAATCAAGGAGTATCAGTGGTTTCTTCAATTTTTAATGATAAGTTGCACATAGTTCTTAGCAGACTTGTATAAAAAAATATTCTACCATGTTAAATGCATGGTATTTAACTTGCACTCCCATGTAACAAACCTGCTTGTTCTCTCTTATGCCAGGTCTGTCAAACTGCAGAGTCAAAGGTGGAATCTTCTGTAATAAATATCTCCATATGATGAATCAATAAACAATAGTATAATCAAATTAGGTGTGCTGGCTTGATGTCTGTTTCTCAATCGCATTTATATTTGATTATACTTATGAAAGGAGTACTTTTTTATTGAAAATAGGTTAATTCCTCATATAATATATTCTGATTATAGCACCCCCTTCCCAGGGAGACCCATTCATCCCCCAACCCCTTGTGCCATACTGATTACCTAAACACTCTGGGTCTGTGGATTGTAGTTTGACGATCATTTCCTTAATAGATAATATCCACATATAAGAGAATACATACCATAGTTGTCTTTCTGGGTTACCTCATTAAGGATGATTTTTTTTCTAGTTGCATCAATTTGCCCGAAAATTGTATGAGCTCATATTTTAAGAGCTGAGTAATGTTCCATTGTGCAAATGTACCACATTTTGTGCATCCACTCTTCTGTTTAGGGACGTCTAGGTTGTTTCCGGTTTCTGGCTATTATGAATAAAGTTTTAGTGAGCGTGGTGGAACAAGCAAGTGCCTTTGTGGTAGGATGGAGTGTCCTTTGGGTATATGCTCATGAGCTGAACATCTGGGTCATGAGGTAGACCAATTCCCAACTTTCTAAGAAATCCTCATATTGTTTTCCAGGGTGGCTTTACAAGTTTGTACTCGCACAAGCAATGGAGAAGTGTTCCCCTTGCTCCACATTCCTCACCAGCAAGAGCTGTCATTTGTGTTTTTTATCTTAGACATTCTGACAGGTGTTATATGGAATCTCAAAGTAGTTTTGGTTGCATTTCCCTGATGGCTAAGGATGGTGAGCATTTCTGTGTTTCTCAGTCATTTGAGTTTCTTCTATGGAGAATCCTCTGTTTGGATCTGTATTCCATTTATCAATTGAATTATTTGGGTTTTTATATCTAGTTTCTTGAATTATTTAAATGTTTTTGATATTAGTCCTCTTTATGGAGTTGGTAAAAAAAAGTCCTTTCCCCATTCTATAGGCTGCCATTTTGTCAAATTGATAGTGTTCTTTGCCTTACAGAACATTTCCAGTTTCCTGAGGGTCCATTTATTAATTGTTCCATTTATTAAATTGCCTGCATTATCATTCTTCTGTTCAGGAAGTCGTCTCCTGTGCCAGAGCATTCAAGGTTATTCCTCAACCTTCTTTCCTATCATGTCCAATGTGTCTGGTTTTATGTTGAGGTCTTTGATCACTTGAACTTGTGTTTGTGCAGGGTAATAAATATGGATCTATTTGTGTTCTTCTACATGCAGACACCCAGTTTGACTGCCACCATTTGTTGAAGATACTGTCTTTTTTTCCTGTGTTTCTATGTTCTTTATCAAAAGTCAGGTGTCCATAATTGCTTGGATTTATGTCTGGGTCTTCTGTTCAATTCCATTGTTCAATGTTTTTTGTTTTTATGTCAATACCTTGCTGTTTTTATTACTATACCTCTGTCACATAGCTAGAAATCAGGAATGGGGAGGCCTCCAACAGTTTGTATTGTTCAAGATTGTTTTAGCTATCTTGAGTTTTTATTGTTATTGTTGTTGTTTTTCCATATGAAGTTGAAAATTCTCCCACCAAAAATCTGTAAAGAATTATCTTGGTAGCTCCCCTTATTCCAGGTCCCTAGACCTGGGGCAAAAGAATTTCACCCACGAGCCTTAGCATCGGGCCTTCAGGTACCATGATGGTGAGAGAGTACAGGGTGGCCAAATGGGAGGGAGGGAGAGGGAGAGAGAGAGAGAGAGAGAGAGAGAGAGAGAGAGAGAGAAACAGAAAGATTCTGGGGAGAGATACAGATCTGAAGAGGTGAGGGTGGTGAGGAACAGGCTGAGGTAGATGCTCTGCTTTCTACCCAGGGCAATGGCGATGTCTGATCCTTAGCTGCTGTCAAGTTCCATGACTTGCTCCATGGCTCTGATGAAGCTGTGGAGTTTTGTGTTAATGTGCATGAGTCCTGTTACCACCAAGGGCCTCATGGTTGCCTGGAATCTGGGCTACTACATGTGACCAAGATGATGTCTAAGGGATGTATCCAACTGAGGCCATGCTGATCCAGGACTCCTATGCCACCATCTTGGACCATGGTGATGTATAATGCAGACTGCTGCAGGGTGGCCATGTCTGGGTTCATGGCCCTGCTGTGGAGGTCTCCGAGTTGACACCATGGGTCCTGTTGCCACTGAGGGCCATGAAGAGGCCTGCGGTCTGGGTCAACACCTGAGGCCATGTTGGTCTTAGCGGGTCAAGCTGCTGCTGGGACCATACATATATAGGTGGCCCCTGATACTACCAGGGCTACTGTATTGTCCAGTCCCTAATTGTGGCCATGAGCCATGTCTGGGTCAGTAACCCTACTATGGTGAAAATCTGTGTCAATGTCTGTGCCTACTGTTACCATCAAAGTCTGAGTGGATACCCAGGCTCTAGGCTGCCTCCTGGAGAAATGTTGGTGTTTGGGGGTCACACCACCACTTGAGGCATGCTGACTGGGCTATCTTCATTGATAACTAGGGCCATGAAGACATCTGGGCCCAGGCTGTTGCCAAAAACCATGTGTGGATCTGTGGTCCTACCACAGCCTGAGTCTGTGCCAATGTCTGTAGCCTGTGTTGCCACCCAAGGCCACATTGCTTCCCAGGATCTGGGCCTCCACCTGCAGTCTTCTTGGCATAGGAGGGCTGTGTTGCTGATGGGCCCATACAGACCTGAGTAACATGTGCCACCACCTGGATCCAGGGCATTCATATGACCTGAACTGTAGCCAAGGGCATGTCTGGGTCTGTAGCCCTGCCATATCCAGGACCTGTACTGATGTCCAAGGCTCCTGTTGCCATCAAAAGCAGAGCAGATGCCCAGGGTCTAGGTCTACACGTGGAGCCATGTGGTGGTTTGAGGGCCAAGCTACTGTTGGGTCCTGCACTGCCAACTGGGACCATGGTGTCATCCGAGCCTGGGTTGCTGCCAAGGACTGTGTCTAGGTCCATGGTCCAATTACCACAGGTGAGCTGCAGGTAGGGTGGGATGGGGGAATCATAGGAGCAGAAGGACTGCCCATCCCCCCTGCCATGTGGTCGCATGGGTGAGGAGAAAACTGTTCTCCCTCTTCTCACCCCTGGCCACATGTGGTAGGTGAGAGAGTTGTCCCCAGGGCCTCCAGAGTGAGAGAACTGGCCCTGTCCCTCACCTGCTGCAGCCCAAGTTAGAGCAGGCACATGGCACCTCACCTGGGCAGCACGCTAGAACTGAGCCTGTTGGTGGGGGCACAGGTGAGCCGGGCCTGTAGGCATGAGAGCAGAATAGCTGTTCCAGCCCCCTCCCTCATATGCCATGGGAAGGCAAGAGTAAGGGAAATATGCCCCCCTTGCCACCTGCGAGAGGTGTGAGAGCTGACCTCAGGGGAATAAGGATGGAAGAGTTAGCACTGTGCTTCAAAAAGTGCTGCAATCCAGAGAGCAGGTCCCACACCTTGTCAAGACAAAGGAGCAGAGTTGTCCCTGGTGGTGTGAGTGCAGATGAGCTGGGTACTGAGGGTGTGAGAACAGGATTACCTTGGCTGATTTTTTTTTCCATTGTTTCATCTCTGCATCTCTGGGATGGAGCCTATTTGATCATGATGGATGATCTTTTTTTGGTGTGTTCTTGAATTCGGTTTGCAAGTATTTTATGGGTATTTTTGCATCTGTGTTCATAAGAAAAATTGGTCTACTCTTTCTTTGCTGACTATGTGGTTTCAGTATCTGGGTGACTGTGCCTCATAAAATGAATTTGGTAGTGTTCCTTTGCTTTCTATTTTGTGAAATAATTTAAGGAATGTTAGCATTAATTCTGCAAAAATCTGGTGGAATTTTTCTCCTAAGGGACTTTCACCTGTACAATCAAATATCTTATTATAACAAACAGCAGGGCAAGTGAGACCTCAAGAGGATGATGAGTCCACCGTAGCGCAAGTTGTCTATGGGGCATGGTGGACTCACAAATTGTATATTCAGCTGGCATTGGTTATAGACCACGAACAATTCCTTTATTGAGGATGCAATACTTCTCTTGTTTGTTTTCTTTTTCCCATGAAGATTAGATCCATATATGTCTCACTTACAATCCCACTATTGTCTAGATTCTCTGGGATTGTGAATTGTAGGCTGGTTTTCTTTGCTTTAAACCCAAGATAGCCAAAACAATTCTGAACAATAAAGGAACTTCTGGAGGCATCACAATCCCTGACTTCAAACTCTACTACAGAGTTACAGCACTAAAAACAGCCTGATATGGGCATAAAATGGAACCAAATCGAAGACCCAGATATTAATCCACACACCTACGAACTCCTGATTTAAAAAAAATATAAAATGGAATAAAGAAAGCATATTCAACAAATGGTGCTGACATAATTGAATATCAACATGTAGAAGAAAATAGATCCATCTATCACATGCACAAAACTCAAGTCCAAATGGATCAAAGACCTCAACATAAAGCCAACCACACTAAACCTCATAGAAGAGAAAGTGGGAAGTACATTTGAATGCATTGGCACAGGAGACCACTTCCTAAATATAACCCCAGTAGCAAGACACTGAGAGAAACAATTAATAAATGGCACCTCCTGAAAATTAAAAGCTTCTGTAAAGAAAAGGGTCAACAAGACAAAACAACAGCCTACAGACTGAGAAAAGATCTTCACTAACCCCACATCAGACAGAGGTCTGATCTCCAAAATATACAAAGAACTCAGGAAACTGGACACCAAAAGTTCACATAATCCAATTTAAAAAAATGGAGTACAAACCTAAACAGAGAACTCTCAACAGAAGAATCTAAAATGGCTGAAAGACAATTAAGGAAATATTCAACATTCTTAGTCATCAGAGAAATGCAAATCCAAACAACTCTGAGATTCCATCTTACAACTGTAACAATGGCCAAAATCAAAAACACTGATGACAACTTTTGCTGGAGAGGTTGTGGGGAAAAGGGCACTTCTGCAGTGCTGGTGGGAATGCAAGCTGGTACATCCCCGTCAGTGCAGTGATTTCTCAGAGAATTAGGAAACAACCTTCCTCAAGACCCAATAATACCACATTTGGGTATATACCCAAAGGATGCTCAATCATGCCACAAGGACATGTGCTCAACTATGTTTATAGCAGCATTGTTTGTCATAGCCAGAACCTGGAAACAACCTAAATGCCCCTCAACCAAAGAATGGATGAGGAAAATGTGGTACATTTATACAATGGAGTACTACACAGCAGAAAAAAATTCTTGAATTTTGCAGGAAATTGGATAGAGCTAGAAAGCATTATTTTGAGTGAGGTAACCCAGACACAGAGAGACAGTTATCACATGTACTCACTCATAGGTGGTTTTTAAACATAAAGCAAAGAAAACCAGCCTACAAACCACAATCCCAGAGAACTTAGACAACAATGAGGACACTAAGAGAGACTTACATAGATATAATCTACATGGGAAGTAGAAAAAGACAAGACCTCCTGAGTAAATTGGGAGCATGGGGACCTTGGGGGAGGGTTGAAGGAGGGAGGGGAGAGACAAGGAGGGGAGCAGAGAAAAATGTAGAGCTCAATAAAAATTAATAAAAAAATTCTGACATGCTGATTCTCTATTTGCATCTATTTTGATATGTGTGTGAGTAATAACAACAAGTATATGTGTATATTTGGTTATGATCATAGAGTTAATATTTTTGTGATGGAAAGGCTGATGATTTATCAATAATATTGCTAATAAACTTAACCATACAAAACTATCAGGATTCATTACTAAGATCTCAGCTTGTCAACAGGTCACTGGTAAAGAAACTTGAAAGTTGAGCCAGTTTCTCACATCTTGCAGGATTTTAGATGATGACTAGAGAGGCCACGGGTTCTGAAGGATTGTGACATTTTCAACTGAAAGAATGTGCAGATATGGCTCGAGGGTTACAAGTGTTTGCAGCCAAGCCTGACAACCTGCATTCCAGCCTGGAAATCTACAGTGGAGAGAACCAATTTTTGCAAGTTCTTCTCTGACTTCTACATACATACACCCACATCCCCCTTCAGCCATTCCTCCACATAAACACATACACTCTATGGTGATGATGATGGTGACGATACCTATCACATAAAAGAGCCTGAATAGTCATATTAGTAGAGAACTTTAAACCCTGTCTCCAGCATCTCCTATTCTCCGCTTCATCCAACTTATCAGCCCATGTATTTTAATCATCATCTAGGCCTTGTCATTGTTTATGATCTAATTCGATATTTTATAAACTATGAATAACAGCACATTAAAACAGTTCGTCCTTTCCAAATAGGAGAGAGGAATAAGAAATAATAGGAGCCACTAGTCCTTCTCAAAATTTGAAGAATTCCCAAAATTTGTCAGTATGTTCATGAACTTCTTGTCCTTTAGGCCTAAGCTCTTGAGAGGCTTACCAAGAGATGGAGTGATGATTTCTTGGTGTGGACCTATTCATGGTTCATTTGTAAGAACAGGTTTATAAGCAAAGATTTCTGAGAACTCACATGACAAAGAGAACAGAAATCCTTTCTTCCTTTGTCTCTCATTGGATTAAGTTCTAGATCCGATTGCTTAGCAACAAGAACCTTTTAGTCTATAGATCCTGGGAGTTGGCCTTCCCACTGTGTCTCCACAATCTCAACTAAACCTTATCACTACTTACTCCGCAGTGTGAGTAAATCTGGCTTCTTTTCCCACATTTATTATGCTCTAGTAGCTTTCCGATATGACTAGGTCTTTCTGTTCTCCCAATGTACACACCCCTCACACACGGCATGGACTTACTACCTTCTGAAACCTTTCTCACACTGCTACCCCTGTCCCAGGTTGTTTCCTCAACATTTAGCCATATCATGGAGAACTTGAATAACTTTAGGTTCCAGAGAAAAATTCAAATCCATCTTAAAATTTTATTAAGTGAGTTGGACGGTGGTAGTACACACCTTTAATCCCAGCACTTAGGAGGTAAAAGCAGGCGGATCTCTGTGAGTTCGAGGCCAGCCTGGTCTACAAGAGCTAGTTCCAGGACAGGCTCCAAAGCTACAAAAAAAAAAAAAAAAAAAAAAAAAAAAAAAAAAAAAAAAAAAACCCTATCACAAAAAAAATCTAAGTAATCTAGTCATTAATAACCATCTGTCCTTTTCTTCAGGTCAATGAATGATTAAGACACATTTTCCAACAGCACATAAATATGCTTTATCT